CTACCAAACTAATCTCCTGCTGCTCCTGAGCCAAACTATTTTCATTTGAGGTTTTCAGAAGCATGAGATCAGCTACAGCAACACTCTTCAGCTTGGTAACCACGGAAACCTCACTCTGCAGGCTCCTCACTGGTACTATATCAATTTCAGCTGCAGAGGCTGATTCCTGGCCTCCTGGTGAGAGTGCAAGTGCGAAAGCACTCTTAGCATGCTCTATTAACTGCAACCCATCTCCATATATCAGGTCCTTGTCAGTCACAGATTTCTCTGGGTGTTCAGGGTTTAGTGTAGTACCATCTTTCAAAGTACTGTACTATCTTCCATCTGTTCCTCAATACAGGAAGGGACATTGAGTATTTTCAAAATGCCCTCATCAGCCATTTTGGTTACTTCACGGTCCTTTTCTAAACTGGGGCATCCCTGGTTTGCTTCTAGGGTTTGGGAATCTATTTTTCCCTCAGAGGTGTCCACAGTTCCCAAGCAGTATACTTTCTTGATCTGGCCATTATTTTCCACATTTTTAGGTTTATTTTTTGTACAATTGTATTGTAAATGACCAGGCTTGCCGCTTTTGTAATTCCTTCTGTCATCCTGGGGAGATTCTTTAATTTTTGTCTCAAGATTCACTTGATTCTGAGGACTAGGCCATACTAATTTAGCTGAGGCACCACCCTGGCCTTCATTCCCTGTTGTTTTGCTGAGGCAATCTTCACCAAAGGGCTAGAGTCTAACTGACTCTGTCTCCCCAATGTCACTTCTGACTCCGCCTCTTATAGCATCTCTCTTGGCTCTGCCTCTCAGCAATATGAATATTCATAAACCATTACATAATACAAGAACCATAGATCTAATAAATGGAGAACGCTACACAAATGTATCATCAAACCAGAATTTAAAACAGTAAACATAATGATTATAACATCAAAATGCAACATATACACACCAGTAAGTAGTCTGTGTCTGCTCAAAAATGGTCTAATAATATTTTAATTTGTTTAAAAATGTACCTATATTTCATATACATCCATAATTTTAAAGTGTGCAACACTCTGATACAAATAAACAGAGAGTGATCAATGATGGAATGAGCATGTAGCTAATGATTTCAGCCATACAAATGAACATGCATGGAGCAGAATCTACCCTGCAAGTGTGGTCATATGACAGTTTCTTCAGAGAGCAAAAGGAAGCCCAGGCAAACCACACCCATAAAGAAAAATGCCTTTAAAAATTGCAGACAGTCTCTGGAAATCAATATTATTCCTTCCTTCCTTCCTTCCTTCCTACCTACCTACCTACTACCCAGCTGGCAGCAAAGGCAACTCTGGGCAGTTTACAACAAATAACAAAAAACAACAAAGTAACAAAATAGCAAATAACAATTTCAATACATGGAGCGAAAATCAAAAATCAGAAACTGCAGTGAGGATAAAATTACAATACAATAGATACAACTGAAGACGTAGAAAAATACACAAACATTTCATCAATAGGAGGAAACTTTTAAGACAAAACAGTAAATGAGCTGTTCCCATGAAAAAAATAATAATTAAGGAACTCTCCGGCAATGGATGAGTAGGACTGACAATATTACCTCATAGCAACATAATTCAGTGTGGAACCACTACCACAGAATGGCTCAGAAAAAGCCTGGGAAGGTTTCCATTTTGAACTCTGAAACATTGCCAAAGTATTTTTTTACTTCAGCATTTTTTTAAGAATCGAAGAACCGCTCTATGTTTCCTAAGGTAGGGTGGTTATCTATTTTGCCCATAGGAAAGACGAGCATGAAAGATATAGCTTGGCATGCTTGAATATTCCCAGTCAAGTTCGTGTTATATAATCTACAAGAGCTCCTTTTACAGCAATAATTTAGATGACATCAACATTCTTAAGTACACAGTGAAAAATGCAATGAAATATGACAGATGTGGTTTCAAAAACAGAATTCTTTATTTATAAAATTGACAACATAGGCATCTTTTACATAACAGTACTTGGAATAATATTTTAGCATATTTAAAAAAACAGTTTGGACTAATTCCAAAGGGATGGAAAACATGCTGCAATTCCAGGTTACATAAACATAAAGAGGCTATAGATTTTATAGTACAATCCACACAACAGGGGAAAATCAGATGCAGAAAAGAAAATTTTATATAGGATAGATTTGACCTCCCTCTGGTAGGAACAGTCAGCTATAATACATAGTTGGAGGCAGACAGACTGATTTAAGATCACCCACAGTTTCAGTTTTGCTAATTAGGAGCATCACTGGTGGTTTTGAAAGACAAGGGAAGCATTAATCCAGGAAACAGTGTTTATTATTTAAACTCTTTCTTCCATGCCTTGCAATAGCACCTCCTCCACCATGTCTGCTCTTGGGAGGGCTAGCTCTGCCACTAGACAGAATAAGGAAACCATTTGGGGATGAGGGGGCAACAGTAGTAGCCAAATAACTTTTCCCCCTGAGCGCAGTGGGGAATTGAACTCCCAACCTTTGGCCTTTCCTCCTTCTTGGAAGACAGTTCTGGGTGTGTCACCAGATCTATCCAGCACTTCCTAAATAATCCTCCTGTACTCAGGATGGTGGGGGATTCTAGTCTATTTGCCAATGAGGTTGAATTGCCATTCCAGTTACCATATTTTTCAGTGTATAAGATGCTACTTTTTCCTAAAATCATTACACTAAAAATTGAGGTGCATCTTATACATGGAAGTAAGCTGAGGAGAGAACAAAACTGCCCGTACCTTGCATCTATAAACAGGCTGCCTCCAATCATGAGGCTTAGCTTCGTACAGTCAGGAGACTTAGCTTTCTCTAGTCACGAGCCTTATGGAACATCAGCTGATGCTGGAAAAAAAACAACTGGAACACACCTTGTTAGAGGTAGAGCCTGTAGGCTCAGATGCAATAGGGACTCATAATGTCCAAGTGTTCTGACCCCAGAGGCTGAATACTCAAAGCTAAGATTTCTTAATTTTGGGTTAGAAAAGCGGGGGATATCTTATACATGGGGTGTCTTATACACAGAAAAAGATGGTAGTTTCTGTGAATGGAATATATGCCTGTATGTTATCTTGACCTCAGGCAGCTAATGTTTCGCTATTACACATATGCAGCCAATTTAAAACATCATATTTTTTCTCTCCACTTGAAAATAGCAATTTAAACCGGAGATTATCTGAATTAGGGGAAAATATTGGGAGGGAAGTTATATCACTCCTTTCTGAGCACCACTTTCCTTGATATTATGTCTAAGCACATGTCATCCATGTCCAGTTCGGCCTCAAAGATTAAGACAACACATGGGGTGGGTGGAAAATAGGGGACTGGAGGTTAAAACACATGTATGGAGTTCAGATAAATAGAGAATTCCATTCTTGCCATTATTTTTATTATTGTTCTGTTGTTGTATGCTGTCAAGCCAATTCTGACTCATAGTGACACTTTTCAGGGTGGATCTGCTCATGGGAGCCACAGTGAGGAATCAAACTCCCAACCTCAGGCTCTGCAACCAGATACCTAATTCACTGAGCTATCCAGCCAGCTACCATTGTTACTATCAAATAATAAGAATGAACCACACCATGCACCACCACCACCATCATAATTGCATGCCATCAAATCAATTCTGGCTTATCACAACTCTTTCCAGAGTGTTCTAGGCAGAGAGTACTCAGAAGTGGCTCACCATCTCTTTCTTCTGGGGGCATCTTGGCACTGTGCAACTTGCTGATGGCCACACAGGCTGGCTCTTCTCCTGGGATGAGCAGTGGCAGTCTCTGTGGCAAATTGCTGCTCTTTAACAACACGTTTGCTTGCATTCCTGGGCAATTGGGACTTCTTTAACAAGCAGCAATGGGCTGCTTAGACGTTATAAATTGGCAATAGGGTTCTAGCCACTGTCACATAAAAGAAATAATCAAGGATGAACAAATAGCGATTAAATTGTACTAAAGAAGAAGGTGACTTTTGTGACCCTTTCCACAGTTTCAACGAGGGAGCAGATGTTTCGTTCATGGCAAGGAATTTTGTCTCTAATATGTCTCTACCGTGAACCACACTGCTCTTTCCAGGCTTTTCCCCTAATACATTTGCAGCCCAGTCCTATGAATATTCACTAAGCTCAGCTGAGTTAGGTGCTAGCCTATGAATGTGAGGCTGCTGCAGAAAATGGGAACACCATGTCAAATTTCCTCTCCATTCTCCTTGATAAGTATTCCTGTTGAGGGACTCGGCATACTACACAATCTGCAGCTGAGTGGTAGAACATATGCTTTGCAGAATGTCCTAGGTTCAGTATCAAGAACGTCCAGGTAGTGACAGAAAATAATCATGTCTATTAAAAACATAATGAAATCACATTTGGTGGAGCGCCTGTAAATATTTCAGAATATTACACTGTGATGGATCAATTACTTACATCATTTGAATTTTTAAGGGGGAAAGTACAGGACCTGCAAACGTGCTAATTTTGGCATTGCCCACTGGCCCCCAACTCTCCCTAGGCATTAAGCCACCCATTGGGGGTGAAGCCATTTGGCTTCTTATGTGGTACAGTAGTTTGTGCCTAAGAAGGTTTGTGCCTTGGCTCCCACACAATCATGATGGGGACTACATCAGAGAGGGGAAATGTACCTTTCCCCTGTGGCAGTCTAAATAAAACCTCCTTCCTCCACAATGTTTTTGGCCAGAAAAAGGGTCATACTCTGCTTAGCACAGAATACCATCTGGATGCTAAACATATATGAATATATATGAAAGTGTACTTGGAAGTGAAGGACTGACTAGACATAAATCCCACAACTGCAGATTTCATCAGTTTTCTCTCAAATATTTCACACACACACACACACACACATGATTGGTTGCTGCTATTTCACCAGATATATGAAAGTATACTTGGAAGTGAAGGGCTGACTAGACATAAATCCCACAACAAACTGCAGATTTCATCAGTTTTCTCTCAGATATTTCACACACACACACACACACACACACACACACACACACACCATGTATGGTGCAGACATCCCTCTACATGAAAATCCACACAGAGTCAATGAGATCTACTTATTCTACATATAGTCAAGATGTCAGTAATTTTACTTTGCTATTCTCTGAAAAATATATTTTTTCTACTTCGCTATAATCCTTTGCTAAAAGGAGATGAAGAAAGGAATAGAAAATGTTGGAGTAAGATATCAGGGCTTAAGTTTTGGAAGTTGCTTCACTCCTGCTGTCTTTCTAATTGGTCCTTTCTTTGGGTCCAGTATTCTTTGATTTCTTGGAATATTATACTTTCCTCTGAAACAAAAAAAGAATGAACAGAGTTTTAAAAAATGCAATTATACATACCTCTATTGTTATAGAAACAGATTGCTTAGTAATGTTTATACCATACAAGGGCCTCCGTATCTGCAGGGTTTCAATTCCAGGACCCCACCCCTGCAGATGCTGAATAATGTGGATTACTGTATAGTGAATGACATAATATAGCATGGTCTCTGGCTCCCTCTAGCGACCAGTTGTGGGAACTTCATTGTTTGAAATATATATATATATACAGTGGTGCCCCGCATAGCGAGGTTAATCCGTTCCGGATTAACCCTCGCTATGCGGAATCGTCGCTAAACGGGTAGGGAAAACGTATTG